GTTCCATCACCATCGGCTACCACCGCAAAATCGATCGTCATAGTCAACTATCAATCACTGTTGTCGAATGCCACCTACCATCCGCTAATAATATCATATATATATTGAAATGCATTATTTTAAATCTACTTTAAACCAAACAAAAAAAATATAAAGTCGTGTGCTTATTTTACAGTGAATCAAACAACTCTAAAATATTTTAAATAAAATAAATTACTTTTGTATTATATTCATTTTATATTGCATTACTTTTTCAGCAAACCAAACAGTCTCATATTATACTAATTTCTACCTATAGTCATTACTAAGCATTAGAATAAGACTAAACAAACATTTGTATTCCAATAGGTGACATACACACATACACCCACACACACATAAGAATTACATATCTGCATAAGAATAAATTAGAGACAAAAGAATCGACTAGTGTCAAAAAAAAAATCTAACTGTTGTTTCTCAACATAATTGATTATAATGTATCAAAACAAGAATAAGAGACCTTTGTATTCCAATGGGTAACATACATGCACATGGGCGTGCACACAATGAAAGGACCACACGAGCGCTCATGCACAAACAAGAATTATACGTCTTCAAATAAATATATAGATAGAGAAAGAACCAACCTGTATCAACAAAAATTTTCATGTTCATCAAATCCCTCAGCCGACGATCATGAAAAACTAATATTCCTTCCAGAATTACAACATCAGCTGGACTGACCTATTAAATTGTCAAAAATAATAAAAGAAAATAGTTGAATCCATCCTGCAAATGATGTTACAAGTAGGTTGACTAACACAAATATAGAAAAGCCAACGGATAATTGTTTAATTAAAGAAACATTATTTGCGAGTCAAAGCAGGAGTCATGAAAGGGAACTTAATAATTAACAGTAAAAGAAATAATCATAACTCGTAGAACTCCTTATTAACCATTAAAATTTAAACTAAAAAAGAAAAATAAAATATTAACTAATAGATTGAAATGAAAATATGAATAACTTTATTTGCATTTGTTTAATAGATACAAGTGTAAAACCCTACAGCAAATAAATATTTGAGAACAAAGAATATTTTGAATTACATTACTTGGTTATTTGATATGCTTAAAGAAGCTATGCTAAAATAGAATGAGTTGAAAGAAATTTACCACGTAGTTTAATTTCAATTCCATGGCATGAAATCCATAATTTTCATAACTGCTTTAGGCATCAGAGTTAAAACTCACATAAAATGTGATGAACATTGATTAACAATTGAAACCATAGTAAAATATGAGAAAACTATTAAATAGGCAATGTATATGGGTAAGATATGGCTTTCAATTTAAAATCAGGAATAAGAAAATGTGTATATATTTTAATTCATTTAAATATAACATTTTTAATTATAGAAAGTCAAATATAATTAATTTAACTACTAACTCCTAAGAAGTATAAGAGATTGATGAAATTAAACAGTATCACAGATATGTGATAAGACATAGAAAATGTTATTGACTTATGTGAGATTAACAAAATATCAAAATTAGTTTAGTTGAACTTTTATGGGTGCATAATACATATACTTACCATGCCTTCTCAAGTTAAAAATGCTTATAATATTATTATATAAGTATAACATACGAATTTTCTAAGTTGGAAGCCACTTCATGAATTAGTTTGGTTAATGTAATTGCATTTATTGGTGGCAATACATTTTGCAAAGTAGCTCCCGAACGTGGAAAGCACATAGCAAAATTCATATGTTTAAGAAAGACATATAAAATAATACTGTTCAATAACACTGGACAGCTAAATTGCTACCTTTCTTGATGGTGATATGCTCTGGTGCGTTTTGAAATCATAGTTTGGAATTTCAACACTCTGTCCACGTTTTAAGTTCTCCAAACAACAAAGTAAGTTTTCAGTATCAAATGCATCTGAAATTAAGCAAATTTCGTGTAAGAATTCAAATCAAGTCTCAATCCAACTAAAGATGCTACTGAAAAAGTAAACATCTGCAGAAATACAATAAAAGCAGTAAAATGCGATGCCTAACAATCAAATATATGTACAATTTTAGTTAACACTCAAGCAAATGCCCAGATTAAATATTTCCAATGATTGCATGAAAAATCCAATAAGGTTGTGAAGAACAAAAAAAAAACTAGCTAAAACTAAGAACAAAAAGGAAAAATTCGCTTTTGCCCTTGAAAGTGCATATTGAGTAGCAGTATTGTTTTGCAGCATTAGCTGGAAAGATGCCCCTGTAATAACTGAAATTTAATAATAAAAATAAATAATAATAATAATAATAATAATAATCAAACAAAAATAGCTCTTCACTTACGATTTTTAACCTTCGTTTGAATCGATCGACAGATTTTAAGTGTTAGAGAGAAGAAGAGAGTAAGAGAGAAGAAGAGAAAGCGAAAATAAGAACAAGTTAGAGTGGGAAGAAGGAGAAAATAATACATCCGGAGACCGGACACAACTATGTGTCCGAACTCCAATTAAATTTTGTCACGTGGAAGCCACGGTCCCAGTGAATAAAAAATGAAAAGCTTTATGTTTTAATACATGACCCAGTCCGATCCGGCCCGAACCAGCCCATTTCTTTGAAAACAAAACAGTTCGCACGGAATATATATATTCATTTCTTCTCACGCCATCAGGTAGTGTTACATCATTATAAAACATCACAATAAACCTCAATAACTCCTCAATAACTCCACAAAAAAATTGCAGTAACACCAAATGACTGTAATAACTCCAGCAAATAACCTCAAAAACTCCAAAAAAAATCGCAATAACACCTCAGTTCCCACAATAACGCTCAAATAACACCAAAATAAACTTCAATAACTCCTCAATAACTCCACAAAAAAACTATAATAGCACCAAATAACCGCAATAACACCACAGTAACTGCAATAACACTCAAATAATACCACAATAAATCTGAATAACACTTCAATAACTCCACAACAAAGCCACAACAACACCAAATAGCCTCAATAACTACACAAAAAAAGCAATAACACCACAACTGCAACAATAAGACTCAATAACATCACAATAAACCTCAATAATTATACCAAAAAACCGCAATAACACTAAACAATCGCAATAACACAAAATAACCCCAATAACTCCATACAAAAATCGCAATAACACCACAGTCACCACAATACTACTAAAATAACACCACAATAAAGATCAATAACACTACATTAACTCCACAATAACACAAAAAAACCACAATAAGACCAATAACCTCAATAACTCCACAAAAAAACCAATAACACATCAATAATACAAAAAAAAACTATAATAACACTATAATAACGCTAATCGAGAATAGCATAACAGAGCAGCCGCAATATCACTCATATAAAATTAAAATAACACCAGAATAATATCAAAATAATACCGCAATAATCAATAATACAGCAATAACATTGAAATAACATCATTCGAAAATACCATTACAACCGTTGCAATACCACTCAAATAATACCACAGTAAACTTCAATAACACTACAAAAAAAATAGCAATAACACCAGCCCGCTAAAAAAAACTGAAATACTACTTAAATAACACAACAAAAAACGACAATAAGACCAAAACTACTGCAATACCGTTCAAATAACAACAAAAAAAACTTCAAAAACACCTCAATAACTCCACAAAAAATCACAATAACACCAGCTCGCAAAAAAACTGCAATACCACTCAAATAACACCACAAAAAATCATAATAACCGCAATAACACCAAATAACCTCAATAACTTCACAAAAAACTGCAATAACACCATAGCCACTATAATACTACTCAAATAACACTTCAATAACTCCACAAAAAAACACAATAACACCAAATAATCACAATAGCATTGTTGACCTCATTTTTGAGGTCATTTCTTTTTCCTTAAGGTCTTAGGATCTAGCTTTAGGAGTTCCTATTGACCATCTTAAAAAACTAAAATTGAGACCCACCCTTTTAGAAATTCCAGCCACTTCTTATTTTCCTTTGATGTCTAGCTTTTATGGCATAAGACCATCGCCTTATTAATGAATGGTTATGGGCTATTTTGTGAAGACTTGAAAACTCAAGGAAAAAGTTCCTAATAGGACTCCAAGCCTTAGGAAAACATCGTCACGACTTTTTCATCACATACACACACAAAATGCACAAAATTCACAAAATTGCACGAAATCGGACTTCAATTAAGCCTAAAGAACGGGTGAAAATGCGAACTTTTCCGGATGACCTCCGACGACAAATTGGACTGCGCCAACGCGTCCGGGACACCAATTTTAGTAGGAAAAGACACTTATATTGCCATATTTTCTACACGAGAAAATTGGCACGCAAATCGATGAATTTGTCAAAACGACTTTCGGTTTTCCTAGGTCTTGAGATCCTATAAGGAATTTCTCCTTGAGTCTCCACAGGATAGTCCTCCAACCACTCGACCATACGATGATGGTTTTGAGATCATCAATGAAAGACATCACAAGAGAAATAAGAAGTGGCCAGAATTTCTAAGGGGATGGATTCAAATACTAGTTTTCTAAGATAGTCAATAGGAACCCTTAAAGCTAGATCCTAGGATCCTAAGTAAAAGAGTAATGACCTCAAAATGAGGTCAACACAGCATGAATATAAGTTAAAATACTCTCATGTGAGATGGATTTACCTCATGGTCACTCTAAGCTTCTTCAACTAAGCCTTCATTCAAAGGTACTAATGACCACAATTTATCTGATAAACAATAAGGCTCATTGCTTTGGCACATAACTACTTTTTCAAGCCTACATGAAACCTCATGCTTCTGACATGCTCTGATAATTAGATTCATGCATTTAGCCACACCATTTAGGTATGATGTCTTTGGAACAGTGAACTCAAGTCTAATTCCTTTTGTAGCACAATGATCATGACACTCACCAGCATTATTCAATCATAATACTCACCACCATTATCTGATCTAGATACTTCAACCTCAAGCATGTCTCAATCTCAACCATGGTGAATCCGTTCGAACAAACTAAATACGTGATATTTATGCATTAAGAAATATACTCATACATTTCAGGTGTCTCATCAATAAACATGACAAGATATTGAGAACATCTAATCGAGTAAACTGAAGTAGGACCACATACAATAGTATGCACTAACTTCAGCTTTTTGAACTTCACCTTCGACACACTTCTGGATACAATGCTCTTATTTTGCTTTACATAGATACAATCTTCACAGAAATCTAAATCTATAGACTTTAAGTCATTAAACATGATTTTAGATAGTAAAGACTTCTTACCTCTCTCACTCATACGGCAATGTCTACAGTATCATAGACTTGTATCAATCTTTATTCCAGTTACATCAACGAATTTAATCATCTCATTGATTAGACAAAAAACGTCTTCAATGTAGCTCCGAGTCATCACCTTCGTCCCTTTGGTCACATTTTGCAAATCACCCATGAATGCAGCCACATATCCTAAACTTGCAAGATGGCTCATCGAGATCAAATTTCTCTTAAAGCATGGAACATGTCCAACTTCACTAAGCTTCCAGACAATCACATTTAGCAATCTGATATCAACATCTCTTTCCTACAAAACTGTTGGCCTTATTACTCTAAAGTACAACTTACCAATATCACTTTGAGTGTAGTATTTAAACACCTCTTTGTTGAGGCAAGCATGAAAAGATACACTTAAATCTGCCATCCAAGGTTCGATACTATTTGGGGAAAAACTAGGGAGTCACATTTGATTTCACTTGTGGATATATTTGTAGAAGGATTTTTATCTAGTCCTCTACCATCAACGTTCTTCGGAGCTTTGTAATTCTTCTTAAAGTGGCATTTCTTCCAGTAATTCCAGTATTCTCCTCTACCTTTTTCTTTCCGTGACCCGAACATTCCTCTTCTGGACTTAAATCTGTCATTGTTCATGCTCCTGTCCAGATTCATTTCTCTTTGCAAAATTCAATACTGAATTTAAAGTTTCACTACTCACCTTCTTGTAGACTTCCTCATTAGGCACTAACATCACACTATTACCAAAATTTAGCATCATATTACCTGAAAAGTTGCTTACCACCGTGACTAGTCCATCTCAACTATTTGGCAATGAGGATATGATTAAAAATGCCCAGAACAAATCATCGAAGTTGATGCCCACATAACACAACTGATTCGTCACAATGTTAAAAACATTTAAATGTTCAGCTACTAAACTACCATCCATCATCTTCATATTGAACAATCTCCTCATTATAAATGCATCCCTATTAGTGCAACCATGAGATCCATCATAATTTTCTCATTTACAATGTTAAATGCAATAAATGAGAAAAATGAAAGACGGATCAAATCAAGTGTTACTCGATCAAACACTTTTCATTCTTCCATAGTCATCGAATCAAGCTTTTGGTGATTCCTTCCAACAACAAATATAACTTGTTTTAATACAGTAAATATTCAACATGTATTTTCCAAAATGCAAAATTTGAACAATTAAATTTCTTTGTCTTGTACCATTGCTTCATCGCCCATTGCTCTCACTCAAATCAATGATCTTCAGAAAATCCCCCGCGAGATCCGATGCAAATAATTGAACAGAAGCGCGCAAATAAGAAACCAAAAAAAATGGAACACAAAGATTTAATGTGGAAAAACTCGAGAGCGAAAAAAAAATCACAAAGCCTCACTGCACTAAGAAATTCACCATGAAATGAAGAGAAATATGCAGATTACACAACGCTCAAATCATCTCTATAGTCCTCTAACTTACGAACGCTCCTCTCTTAATCACACAAAAGAAATTAGAGAAATACATCCACAAAATTTCACATGTTCTTCTGCACGCATTGATTGTTGTCTTTCGCCCTCAATCGTGCATTGCTAAGCGCTCAAAAT